CCCTGACCTCATAGTTCAGGATCCACAAGCATTTCCTGATCTATAGGGAGGGAAGGTTAATGCATTCATTACTTTGTTACAGATCTGCTTCTGAAGTGATAGCTTTTTGCAAGGAGGGTGCCTCAGAGTTGAAAGGACAATTCTTTCCTGAGCAACTCAACCTGATACAACAAGATTTATATTTACTATGTCAGATTTCTCTTGGCTTAAGTTGGCGCTAGTTTGGGTGCACAGATCTACAACAGTTGTTTAGAATAACTTTAGAAATCTCACTTTCAGACAACTACGTGGTAAGAAATGTAGAATTCTCCTAAGTAGACAGATTATGTTTTCAACTCTGGGTTCTCATTTCTTTATATTGCACAGTAGGTGATAGTAGGTAGTGTAATATCTGTAGCTCTGAAGTAAAAAAATAGATGGAGGTCCTAGTCAGCATGTCTGAATTGAAATATTTTTTAATTTTAACTCATTCATATTTAATCTCGCTTATCCCCACTTCATTAAGTTTTATAGCTAATACAGAGATTCAAGTTAATGATACGAAGATTCGTTCTTCAACTAAGCAGGAGAGAGGCACAGCCTGGTTGCGTGGCCCTCTAGAACGAAGAGTGTACTGTTCCCTTGTGTTCTGACAGTTTTAGAACAACAGGTTTTTTGGGGGGGAGGGGGTTCTTTTACTTTCATATTGAGCATTTGAGTATCTGGTATTGAATTTATTTGTAAACTTCAAGGTTTTTCTTCCTAAAGGCAATACGTTTATTGAAACTAAAATGTATCATGAGACTACTTTCTTCCCATTTCCAGGGCGCTGAGTTTCTCCCTGAAGGTTTTGTTGCTTGGTTTGTGGTGGGAGCAGTGCTGTTGGATGTCCTTGACAGAAATTCCTTAGGCAGTCAGACTGAATCCAGGAAATGTGCGTCCCAATAGAAGACTTACATGACTGTAAGACAAGTTACCCCTGGCTGTAGGGGGCACAATATACCCTCAGCGTGGTAGGGGGCAGGTTTTTCTACAAGTGGGAAGTTGTGTCATTAAACCAGCCAAGTTCTGCTTTAGATGTGGTATAATGGTACTTGATATTTGGTCAATAATGCTTGCATCAGGAAATCTTTGCGGTTGAGTAGGCCTCCAAGGTTTTTAATGCTGCTTATAATTGATGAGAATTTGAGGGAAGAGTGTGGTCTTTGGCTATCTTCATTTCTGGTTAGTTTTTCTTTGCATTGCTTGTGCTGCTGTAGCACAGAAGGGTAAATGGGTGTGGTGACTAACAATTGCCTTGTGGTGCTAGAAGACTGCACACAAACTCCTGCTTTCAACTTGACTGGGTGCCTAAAATTCAGTTACTTGGTTGGAATTCAGAGTACGGTTTACTTACATAAATTATTGGAAGTTTAGATAACTTTCAGGCATTATACATAAAGCTATTTAGTCCTTAATATGAGTGATTTAGTAGTTAAGCATTTATAATATTTCTGTTGGAAAAATGTCCAGTTCCTAACGGGTTTGTCAAAATGCCTCTCCCACGGTTTTTGCAGAGTAAGTGAGAATATTGAGGTGTGTCAGGGAGGATCCAAGACTTGCCAAATATGTCAGTTTTTAAAGCTGGGTTATGAATATAACACAAACTACTAAATATATCTTTTTAAATATATATTGATGTCAGAGAGAGGAAGGGAGAGGGAGAGAAACATCAGTGATGAGCGAGTCATTGATGAGCCACCACCTGCATGGCACCCACTGGGGATGGAGCCCACAACCTAGGCATGTGCCCATCTCCTGGATCATAGGTCGATGCTCAACCACTGAGCCATGCCCAGCTATCTTAATAGTTGGTGATTCATAATGCAATAGAATTTGCAGTGCCTTGTGGTCATTATGTTTTTGTATTGAATATTAGAAATAATATTACAGATACAAGAGGTTGGAGATAAATTTCCAAAATATTTTGTAATTTTCTCTAAAAATAAGAGCACAGAAAGAATCCAAGGTGTTTGAGTGTTCTGTTTGCAGTCTATGTAAGGCATTTATGTTTTTTAAATTACACACAACAAACATTAAAAAAGTATTTCTTGTGAAGTGGGAACTTGTATGAGTTGTTACGTGCTGGGGGCACTAAAAGAGTAGATTTCTGACCTTTGAAGAATTCAGTCACCTGAGGGGAACAATGTGGAATGCACGTTTTTAACAGTGACCTGTGACTTTGAAGAGACACACAAGTGAGAACTACTAGTGCGGTTGTGACAACCTGGGGAGGCTTCTCAGATGTGGGGGGTTCAGCTTGGCCTTGAGGGAGGAGCGGGGCGGGGAGGTGGTGTGCTGAGATGGGCAGAGTGGAGAGACGTGGGAGCTGCAGTGATTCATAGCTTCATCCCCAGCTGAGACTTCTTGGGTAAGTTACAGTATTTGAGCCTTAGCTTCCTCATTTATAAAGTGGGGGAAATAGTAGTATCTACCTGGTGGGATTGTTGAGAGTATTCAAAGTACTTACAGGTGTAAAGCTAGGGTGAAATGTCAGGACCTGACATTTCTTTGAAGCGAAATAGACATGGAGGGGAAAGGGTGTATTGTCCCTGCGGAAGCCAGTTTTACTAGAATCAAAGTCAAGGTTTCAATGCTTGTCAGTACCAGGATTATAACACAGGCACAAATTGCGTACCTATATTACACTCCACATTTTTCTTAGCACGTAATACATTACCTCGTTTAACCTCATCAACCCTGTGAGATCAATACCCCATTTTATTGGTAATTGAGGTAAAGAAAGACATTTGCCGCCCTGGCCAGTTGGCTCAGTGGTTAGAGCGTCGGCTGGTGGACCGAAGGGTCTTGGTGTCTCTCTCCCTTCCACTCTCTCTGGAAAAGCAATGGAAAAAATACCTTCGGGTCAGGATTAAAAAATGAAAAAGAAAAAGAAAGGCAACTTGTCTTGAAAGTCTTCGAAAGTGAAAAGTCAGAGTGAAAGCCAAGACTGACTCCAAAGCCCAGTGGTTTTTGTCCAGTAGGCTTGGATCCTGGGCTGCCCTGCGAGGCTTGTGGAATCGGGCAAGGCCAGCAGGGGGGACCCTCCCCGGCGCCCGGAGGCTTCCACGCCACTTACCCTTGCCC